CTGAACAATGTCATTTTCGAGCAATTCTTTAATAATTTCTTTTACTTTTTCACGTTCAACCGGGCTTAACCTATAAGGTCGTCTTTCAACAAACTTATCTGGATTTTTGAGACGAATCTCCAACTGACCAGTATTGACACGCGTCTTTGAAAAACCACGAGTAAATACATCAGGGTATTTATTGAGTAGTATGAGAAGTTCATTAACCTCGTTTTCATTACTAAGGTAATGATTTATTTTGCCAATGGCCACTCGATGGCATCTCAATAGCGTGTCAGTGGTATGACACTGGCTTGGCGTAATAGCAGAATTGAGGCCCTGGTAGTAAAATATTATCAACATCGGTCCAGCCGTTTTCAAGATTACCCGGAACAAACAGACAGATAAAAAATATTTAAACTGGTTTTTAGTCATAGGTATCGTATCGTACAAATAACCGTGTGAACATAAAAAAACCTATTATTTTGACATTACAAACAGACACTTTAATTTTATTTATTTGTATAGATGGCTGGTAAAGATTTGGTTACAGTAATTCTGTTTTTGAAAATGTCGTCGGCCTCTCTCAAAAGGTTACATACATTCCCAGTTTTTACACCATTTTTCATTGCTGCTCGTCTCCATTAGTCGTAGTGTGATGTTATAGCCTATAGCCTTTCTATAAATATAAATAGGCTCTCCAATAGTAAAATAATTTTTCAATTCGAACCAGTAGTTCCTGAGAGTTTCTGAGCCTGTTTGTTTGGTTAATCGGAATACCGATTAACCAAACAAACAGACTAACAAACTCTTAAGCTTCATAATATTAGTATCGATTATAACTCTTACCATGCAAAGGATCTGAAGTCAAAAACATAGAAAAAACCGGTCAAGTGCGAGTTGGACTCGCGCACAAGTTCTGTACCATTTTGTATAAAAACGGCAAAAAAATCACGTTTGTTGTATGGGAGCATCCCTTAAATATATATTTTATTTTGTTTTTAGTATTTGTTGTTTTAGCGGCAACAGAAATACATCATATGTGAAAGTTTTAACTAACTATCACGGTTCATGAGATACAGCAGGGTGACAGACGGACGGACGGACAGCTTTGTTTTAGTAATAGTGTCCCTTTTACCCTTTGGGTACGGAACCCTAAAAAGAGCACACATATTAGCCGGTCATTAAAAAAGGAATAATATATTATATAATATTTTATAATAATAAAAATATAATATTCTCACACATTTCATACACGGCCGTCTGATCCCGAACTAGGCAGAGTCTGTACTATGAAAATCAGACTGCTGATAAATATACTTATGTATTTATAAATACTCGTATATACATTTCATAAATAAATTAATTAATTCCTGTTTTATTTCTCTCTTGCATTGAAGGAGGGTATTGTTTGCTTTATTTGAAATTACCTGTAGATAGAAATACTATAATCCTTTACCTTTTATCTATTTACTGGATTATAATTCTTAAAGGTGGTAAATTACATTGATGCACAAGGAACCCAACACCGTTTTGTTTATCGTCCCACAAAATCGTAAAAACTGATTGAAGTACGGGTTTACTGCCATGATTGTTAGTGCAAGATGGTTTTGAGTGACTGCTTCATACAATGTATACTTTATGCACTAACTTTATTAGTTTTTAATATATTATTGTAGCAGGAACAAATAGTCACTTTATAGAAGCGATATCGTTAGCAAGCATTAATTCCTACATTATTATATTTTCTGCTGTTTAATTACTTTGATACTTCTATAGTAATGTGATAAATTTTATGATACTTTAAATACATAAGTCAGTGACTGCACGAATGGCGTAATGGTTTAAGCGTTCGCCACGCCGCTTTCTACTACGCCGAGTGTTGTGGGTTCAAACCCCATATGGGACGACACTTTGTGTGATCCACAAATAGTTGTTCTGAGTCTGGGTGTTTTTTGTGTCCGTTTCATGTATGTTTGTGAAGTCCCCCGCGACACAAGATATATTCCTAATGCGGGCGTTGTCTTCATTAAAGCACGAAAAAAGCAAGTGTTATCTATGCTTCTTATTAAAAAAAAACATTTAGTTCTATTTCTTAACGCATGGAGCCGTTTTTAAAAGACCTCTCTCGAAATAAGTTTATCACTGTATGATTTTTTAATAATACGAGTAACTTCCACATCATACACCTATAACCTAGCTGATTTGTATGACAATTATGGTGTACATAGCATTAATTGCAAAGTGGTAGTGTAAGAAAACCAAATTATTAACAATCAATCAAATCAAATTAAACAAACAATCAAATCAAAGGTACTAGGGTAGTAACTACTTGTCTCGTGTATGAGGAGTAAATAAAAGAGTTCAACTCACTGTTATCACCATGTATTTGTCCTGCGTTTCTAAGACCAAATATCATATACGGGAACTCGAACAATCCGAATGGCGTCGTGATGGCCGTTTTCGGAACATCCTCCGGACTGACAGGTACCTGATTATAAGCTTTTTCCAGGTCAATTTTCGAGAAAATAGTACATCCGGACAAACTATGAGTAAAGTCATGGATGTGCTTAATCGGATACCTGTCAGGTACGGTACGGGCGTTCAACTTACGGTAATCGCCGCAAGGACGCCATCCGTCGTTCTTCTTAGGGGCCAGATGCAGCGGAGATGACCAGGGGCTCTTAGAAGGTCTACCAGTGCCACATGAAAGCATCGCCTCGAACTCCTGCTTCGCTATTTTCAGCTTGTCCGGGGCTAGACGACGTGGAGTTGAAACTACTGGAGGTCCAGGGATAGTGATAATGTGGTGTACAGTGTTGTGAGGTAGTGTAGTGCGTCGCATACCGGCTGGTCGAGTTAATTCTGGAAACTCATTGAGAATTTTGTGGTACCGAGTCTCGCCAGTTACCACTTTAACAGAGGAAATACTGGCTCGAGCTACAGTCGCCACAGCTGACACAGAAGTTAACTGATCTATTAATCGTTTATTACGAATATCAATAGCAATGTTATAAAAATTTAAAAAATCTACGCCTATAATTGGCTTTGTGACGTCAGCAACGACGAACCGCCACGGAAAAGTTCTACGTAAACCAAAGTCTAAATTGAGATGTACAAAACCATATGTATAAATATTAGAACCGTTCGCAGCACATAAACAGTAGTCCGTGCGGGAACGACGATCACGTAGCGCAGACTTCGGGAAGACACATAGATCGCTCCCTGTGTCAATCAGGAACTGGAGCTTCGACGTACGGTCCGTGATAAAAAGGCGACCAGCTGTATATGAAGGGCAATCGTCAGTCGCCATTACCGACCGCCCCTGGAGTTTTCCGGCTTGTAGTCGCACGGCCGTATACACTTCACAGCTTTTTCCCTGATGTTACTGTGGTACCAGCATAGCGGGAACTTGCGGTAATTTGACTGGGACCGCTGTCTCGATTTATTGCGGCTACCACGAGACTTTGATCTGCCACGGTCACGTTGCCGGTCCTGTTTCTCAAGGGTCAGATTCTGCAGCTGTCTTTGTAACTCCGCTACTTCTTTCGTGAGATCGTTGACTATGGAACCTTCAACTGTGGCTACCATAGACGTTGAAGACGCGAGGTCGTTGACTCGATCGGCTAAGTCCGCCAGGTTCTCCAGCGAGGCAGTGGCTGGTTGTCCTGCAAGCACGGTTTGGATGCCGTGAAGAAGACGGCTGATCCAAATCGTCCTCAAGAAGTCGCCTGGAACGTTCACCGATGCCAGGCTCTGCAAGTGTCGGAGAAATTGGGAGGGCTTCCTATCTCCTAGCTCCTCGTGCATGAGCAATTGCTTCAGTTTGTTCTCCTTAGATGCACTCAGTCGCTTGATAAGCTGAGATTTCAACTTGGCATACTTATCCACCGAAGGAGGGTTGACAATGATATCTTTCACCTCTCTAGAGTGTTGCATGTCGAGGTGCTCGATGACATAATTAAATTTAGTATTGTCATCTCTAATCCCGGAAATCGCGAACTGTCCCTCTATCTGCGCGAACCAAATGTCGGGTTCCTCGGGCCAAAATGGTGGCACCCTTACTCCAACTCTAAAAACATCGACACTTTTTATCGACACTTGCCCGTCACTAGTGCTTGGGTGTGGCTCTTGTGGCGATGTGCCTTGCGCATCTTAAGATCCGGTACTCATGTTCGGTATACGGGGTCACCAATGTAGGTACTAGGGTAGTAACTACTTGTCTCGTGTATGAGGAGTAAATAAAAGAGTTCAACTCACTGTTATCACCATGTATTTGTCCAGCACACGAGAAATAAACAGAAGGTACGGTAGGTAGAAGATACAGGCACAAGCACAGTTAGCAGTTTAAATAGGAAGATCGCTAGTTCAAGAATAGCACAAGAGATCACTAGATATTTAAGCAGTATAGAAATAATATATAAGCACTACGTTAACAATATTTAGGCGGTACGAAGGGCTTAGGTAAGCAAGCGTGCGGTCTACAACGGTAAGGAATTCAGACTGTTCGAGACAGCGTACGCGCAGCGGTTGCCGGCGCGTATCTCGCTGTAGCTAGCTAGCTATACATTTAGATAGCATAGTGAAAGGGATGTGTCGATAGAATTTATCGACAAACCGATATGTATCGCTGTGAAGTGTAATATTTATTTATGATGTACTTATATTATAAACGTGTGTATTAATGATGTATTATAATGCGTTGTATAATGTTTTATTTATTTTTAAGTCTACAACAACAAACACATTACAGATTATACTTTACAATGTTAGTATAATGAAACTTATCCTTAAACTTAACTTAGGAGCGCGGGCGTAACCTAGAATGACACGGGTGTCGCGCGCGCCGTATTTCGGGTAGACTGGCGCCACTACCGGGCATGCGCGCGGGCGAGCCACGGAGGGTCGCGGGGTGACGCACGACGGGGTAAGAGGGGTATCAGGGACGCACGTTATACTCTCCCCCTTTTGACCAAGAGGCGAAATCTCATTGGTCAAACTCCTAACCATAAATAGCGAACCTACGGTTGGACTTTCCGCGGGCGACCTCTGCGGCGCTTCGGAACAACAGGCTCCGGACACTCACCACCTCTGTCATGGTATCTACGCAGATCCGACATGTGATAATTGCCAACAACTTCACCAGTCTTCTGTGAGGTAAGAGCAAATGTAGTGGGACTCACCTTCTTGGAGACTACATACGGACCATCCTGTTTCGGAATAAACTTGGAAGTAACACCTTTGGAAGCATTACTTAAGACATGTGTCTTCATAAGCACAAGATCGCCTTCTTTGAAAGGATCCGAAGCCCGACGGCCGGAATCCGCTTGATGCTTGCGAAGATCCTGCTGATGCTCGATATTCTCCTTAGCTTGAGAGAGAGAGTCAACCAGCTTCAGAAGGTACGGTGTGATCTGAGGGACCAAATTCTCAGATTCGATGACTGCGCGTAAATCAGCCTGGACAGAGATGGGAGAGCGAAGCTCGCGACCGAATGTCAAGTAAGCTGGAGTGGAACCGGTGGAAACTGTAAAGGAACTATTTAGAGCAAAACGGACAAACGGTAAAACCTCAGGCCATTGCTTGTGATTGCCCTCTACAAGAATAGCTAGGTGAGCCTTTAAGTCCCGATTTCTTCTCTCTACCGGGTTGGCTTCGGGATGATATAATGGTATCAGGTTCTGTTTCACACCTAAGACAAACAACGCCTTCTGCATTACATCAGCTACGAATTGAACTCCGTTGTCGGAGATCATACGCCTAGGGAGTCCATACCTCATAAAAATCTCACCCACTAAGGTTTTCGCACAGATCTCGGCTGTGGCTTCGGTAAGGGCAAAAAGTTCAACCCACTTACTAGCGGTGTCCTCTACTATTAAAACCCACCTTTCGCCTTGAGGCCCTTTAGGTAACGGTCCAAAGAGGTCAACAGCGATGATCTCAAATCTCTGTGCGGGTACAGGAGTCTGGAGTAAACCAAGTGGTTTTAGGTTTGAGGCCTTGTACCGCTGACACTCCGTACAGGTCCTCAGGTAGTTGGTAATATACTTCCTCATGCCTGGGAAGTAGAACTGCTGGGATATGCGATGAAGAGTCTTCTGGATACCCCCATGAGCGGCGGTCAGCGAGTCGTGACACTCGTACATGACTTTGCTTCTCAGGCTCTCCGGAACGACCAGCTGAGGCTCTTCAGCATCCGAATCCTCTACATACCTGTACAATACTCCCTGATTGATAAGGTACCCTCTATCCGACCAACGGTGTACGGACAATTCGTCAGTACTCTCTAAGTCAATGAGAATCTTAGCTACTTCTGGATCTGACAATTGAGCTTCGCGGGTAGATGTGGCGTCCCATCGTGGAATGTCCACGGTGACCGGGCAGACACCACATCCCGATGTACTATCTATAACTGGGCGGCTGAGTGTGTCGGCTACCACATTCGCCTTCCCAGGAGTGTACTCGATTCGCAAATCAAAAGACTGTAACTTCAATGCCCAACGAACTAGCCTACCGGTAGGCGATTTGAGCGTGAACAGCCACTTCAGGGGTTGATGATCGCTCCTGACACATACCTGATGACCATCGACGTAGCCACGGAATCTCTCCACTGCCCAGACAACGGCCAACGCCTCCCTCTCAGTGGTGGAGTAGTTCCGTTCTGCCCGCGTAAGGAGACGACTAGCGTACTCGATAGGATGTTCATCTTGTGGTGACTCCCCCTGGAGTAAGGCTGCACCTAAAGCGAAATCGCTGGAGTCCGTTCTAAGGATGAAAGGTCTTGAGTAGTCCGGCTGGGTCAGAATGGGGGGTGAAGCTAAAAGAGTCTTGAGCTGTATAAAAGCACTAGTTTGGTCCTTACCCCATTTCCAGGTCTGTGACTTTTTTGTTAGACGCGTAAGAGGTTCAGCCACCTTGGCAAACTCTGGGATAAACTTGCGGAACCAAGAGCAAGTTTGGAGGAAGGTGCGAAGTTGCTGGAGAGTTGTCGGTTCCTTCATCTCTAAAATAGCACTTACCTTCTCTTCGTCTGGAGATATACCATAATGAGAGATCACGTGGCCAAGGTACTTGAGCCGGTCTCTGGCAAACACACACTTCTCTCGGTTTGCTCGGAGCTTGTACATACGGAGACGCTCGAATACCGCACGCAAATCTGCTATATGGGACTCCAGGTCCTCCGAAATGACCAGCAGGTCATCCAAATAACCCAAAATAGTCCTACCACTAAGTGTAGACCCCGATCTGAAACGGTCTATGAGCCTCTGAAATGTCGCTGGCGAATTCTTAAGGCCAAACGGCATACGTTTGAAGCGATAGGTACCAAAGGGCGTGACGAACGCAGTTTTATCGCGATCGGCGGTGCTTACCTGCCAATAACCACTGCGAAGATCTAGAGAACTCATTACACAACCCTTCTTGGTCGACTGTAAGAGCTCGTCAATACGCGGCATGGGGTACGCATCCGTCTTAGTAACAGCGTTCAACTTTCGGTAGTCGACACAAAACCTATAGGTACCATTACGTTTCGGTACTAAGACGCACGGCGCTGCCCAGGCGGATTCACACTCCTCGATCACGTCCTCAGCTAACATCTGCTTATTATTATCGTTAACAAAATCCGAACATGACTTCTTACTATCTATATACACTGAAGAAAACACATTTTCTATCTTAACATTTGTGTTACTATCTCCGGCACTACCTTGTTTACCTTTAGGACAATTAACTCTAACGTGGCCTTTTTCACCACAATTATAGCAAACAGTGCCAGAGTTAGTAGAAAGAGAACGTTTACTTAGCTTATCACATGAGTCCCGTACGTGTCCTCGTCCCTTACAATACACGCAAAACAACTTCTTATCACTGTTATCACTTTTGCTCACACACTGATCACTACGCGGCGAGTTCGCTCGCGGGGCGCGGGCAGTGCGAACCGGCGGCGACGGCGACGGCGTCGAACTCGATCCCGGAGCGACGTGTTGCTGCGCGCTCTCGCTGAGCGCGAGGGAAGCCTTCGTAGGTAAACACGACGACGACGGTGACGTGGAGTTCTCCGACAACGATTCTTCTATGCTGCGAGATTTTTCTATCAGTGATTCAATATCACTCACAGCGTCTCTTGGTAACCGCTTCCTGATTCTCTTGTGAAGTAGACCATAAATCATATCCAGTCTCGCTTCCTCTGGTAACTGATAAGGCAGTTTCGCCAACAGAGATCGTACTCTTACGATAAAAACGTCGGCGCGTTCCAACCCTTGCTCAGCAGCGAAAACATCTCTGTACAGTTTGTACGGTGGCCGTGGTATGCCATACATCGAACGCAGGCGCTTGACTGCCTCTGACCATGACGTGACTTCATGACGGATGCCACGCCACCAAACTGCTGCTTGCCCATTTAATAACATGGGGAGTCCACGAAGTGCCATCTCATCGCTGACCGAAGCGCAATCCATAAACATCTCGACAGCGTCTATGAATGCTTCGACCGCCTCCGGATACTCCGACGAACCATCGAAGCGCGAGGTGCATTTGACGAGATTCCCAGAATAAGATGTCGGTGTAGCGACGGAGTTCACACTGGGCGGCGTCCCTGAGTGCGATGTCAGTAGTGACTCGACGAGCTTCTGGTTCGCCTCGGCCTGCGCCGAAGAGAAGGCGGCCAGGAGCGACGCTAACTGAGTTTGAGACATAAGCACCGGAGCCACAGGTGTCTCTGTCACCGAGACAGGTTCATCTTCCGAACTGGAGTCGTTATTACGAACTTTACGCGGCGGCATTGTGGTCACTAAAAATACCTATTCGAACAGTCTAGAACATCGGCCCATACGTTGGGAGCCAGTATAATGCGTTGTATAATGTTTTATTTATTTTTAAGTCTACAACAACAAACACATTACAGATTATACTTTACAATGTTAGTATAATGAAACTTATCCTTAAACTTAACTTAGGAGCGCGGGCGTAACCTAGAATGACACGGGTGTCGCGCGCGCCGTATTTCGGGTAGACTGGCGCCACTACCGGGCATGCGCGCGGGCGAGCCACGGAGGGTCGCGGGGTGTCGCACGACGGGGTAAGAGGGGTATCAGGGACGCACGTTATAGTCATTGAACTATATTACGTAGTAGTAATACCTCAGTGGTTATAGTATATATTTTGTAAATAATATTTTAGGTGTAGAATAAGTGTAAATATTGTGAATAAATAATAATAATATATAATCTATGTGTTAATGTTTAGTGTTTTATGTGTAAAACGTATTAAACTCAAACGAAAGTAGGGGGATCCCTACACAATGAAATAAACATAAACAAACAATTTACATTTGTTTGGGCTTGAAGTTAATGGACACAAAACATTTTGTTATTTTAGTTTTTACATCACATCACATAAACAGCGTCTAATAGTCTACTCCGTCCACACGTCCGTGTGTAGTATAGTTTTAAATATATTAAACGGCTAGCAAAAGATGTGAACGTCTGGATCACGAACTAGGAAACTGTTATATTGGTTAAGGCTTCTGTTTATAGGTAATTATTGGTCTAAATTAGTTTTTGAAAATTGCGTGTGGAATATTTTAATTACTTTATATCTGGGAAAAGATTAGGAAAATTCAAAGATATTTTGTTCTAATAGATATTTACAATTTATATGATTATTAAGTAACTTATAAGGAAAACAAAGGTCAAAAATGCGTCTGCGAGTAGAAAGAGTGGTCATGTTAGTGATAGCCGTTGGTCAAACAGACTCAAACGTTTCAGCTATTGTAGAAATAAAAAAGAGCAAATGTTAGATAATTAGCTCGACAAGTGCTACAGTGGCAAGTGTATGAGTGTTGCGTAAAAACCATACTCGATTTTCGAAGATGATGTCCGTGTGGTGACGGATTAAGAATACAGAGTGTAACCACCCCTATTCATTCCGTGGGTATCGTAAGAGCCGACTGAGGGAGTAAACTACGCAGGACAACAACACTGCAAAGAGAAAGATAACTTGAAAGCAACCCTTTTTTTTTTTTTTTTAACGTGTGGAAATCCCCTCGGACCGTCACCCCACCGGGGTTTGCGGCGGGGTGGTGTGTCGGACTCGGACCGACTAAAACCACACGGTGTGCCACTCTACGCCTGTAACAGGAGGGATCCGGGAACAGCTGTTATTAAGACATCCGGTCCCCTCCTAGCGCCAGCCCGCTCCTAGTGCGGGCTCCGTCTCAAAATTTTCCTCTCTTTAGGCGACGTCCGGCACACGCGGACGCCGCCCCCTCGCGGCTGGCCAAACTAATGCGGGTGGAGGGGAAACCCACCCCGTCCACCCGCGGCCACACTCAGGGCGGCATGAGGTGATAAGCGCGCCTCCGCCGCCCGGTTCGCCGGCGGCGGATCGGGTCCGAGTGGAGGTCGTCCTCCCGGGCCTTCTCCGCTGCCTCGAGGAAGTAATCTCGCAGAAGGTTGCGACCGCGGTAAAACAACTGTCGCTACCGGCCATGGAGCGTACTACGGCCGGTAGCGAGAGATCCACTCCGATGACTGCAGTGAGGGCCCGGCGATGCGTCGCCCATGCGGGGCAGGCGGGACTCAGTTCCCTCCTAGCGACCGAGTGCAGGTACTTTCCGAAGCAACCGTGCCCGGAAAGCACCTGCGTCAGCCGGAAGGTAAGGGTCCCGTGCTGCCGCCCTGCCCACTCGGCGATGACCGGCTGGAGAGCCTCCACGGCGGCGAAGCCAGCGCGTGGAGTCTCCAGCCGGAACGACCAACGAGCCATCGTGGCTCGGCGAGCGGCTTCGCGCCACTCGCGCACATCCTCGAGCGGAGGGCGAAATCCGCTCTCCGCCCGGGAATCAGCCACTCGCCGATAAACTTCGGCGAGCACTTCCGCCTCCAAATCCCACGGGGGAGTTCCGGTCAACGCGCACGCCACCTCCGTCGACACGGTGCGGTAACCGCGTATGGCTCTGACCGCCATTACCCTCTGAGGGCGCCAAAGGCGTACCCTATTCTGGGCGGTCAGAGCCGCCGCCCACACCGGTGCACCGTATAGTGCCATTGACCGGACAACCCCCGTGTACAGCCGTCTTGTCGCGACGCTGGGTCCACCCAAATTGGGCAAAAGTCGCCCTAGGGCAGACGCGGCGCCGACCAGCTTTGGAGCAAGCTGTCGGAAGTGCTCGTCGAAGAGCCACCTCCCGTCGAGGATCAGGCCCAGATATTTCATCTGGGCCCGAACCGGTACGAGGACCGAGTTGACCACGATTGAGGCGCCAGGGGGTGGACCACGACGGGGCCCATGAAATAACAGGGCCTCCGTCTTATCTAGGGCCACCCGTAAGCCCAGCGCCTCAATGCGCCCGACCACCAGGGAGACTCCCCTTGTGGCCAGGCCCGCCGCCTCTTGGAAGTTCGCCCCCCGGGCTGTCACCAGAGTATCATCTGCGTAACAAATTACACCCAGCCCGGGGGGGAAATCGGCTCGAAGGGCCCAGTCGTACCCTATGTTCCACAAGAGGGGTCCAAGAACAGACCCCTGTGGAACACCTCACGACATGGGCCAACACCTCAAATTACCCTCTCGGTCCTCGTACACGACGGTACGCTCCTCTAAATAGTCTGCCACTAGCCGCCTCAGGTACTTTAGCACCCCATGATAGTGGAGTGCTTCCCTGATGCAGCTGAATGGCAGACTATTGAATGCGTTGGCGATGTCCAATGACACCTGGACGTGAATCAAACTCACGCTTAGCAGCCACCGAGACAGTTGTATTAAGTTGTTGTGACTTGTTATTCCTGAGTGGCTGGCAGACGTTCATATGCGGCGGTAGTCGTTTTCCATCAGAAGACCCGTATTTACCCAGGTTTTATGAATTTTAAGTTTATTTAATCATGTTACAAGAGAAGAGGAAGATCATAGAAAAGGTGGATGGACAGTGTGAGTGAGGATGGCTAGAAAGTGAGTAAACAGTGAAATGACGAATGATAGAGTAGAATGGAAGAATCATCAAGAAGGAAGTATACCTCAAATTTTTTTTTTTTTTTTTCATTCATCACTACGTAATAGTTTCGCATAATCGCAAAATAGGCAGTTTTTACAAGTTTTATCAGCAACTAACAGATAAATTGAGAGGCTTTGATAAATTGCAAGTACCAGTTTTCTGTAATCTCAGTGTAATATATTGACTGCACGTCGCTCACTACTATGCTGAGTGTTGTGGGTCCGATCCCCACATGGGACGACATTTTGTGTGATTCACAAATTGTTGTTGTGAGTCTGGGTGTTCTTTGTGTCCGTTTCATGTATATTTGTAAAGTCCCCCGCGACACAAGAGTTATTCCTAGTGCGGGAGGTCTTTTAAGAAAAACAAAAAAACTTATTTTAAATAAAACATTTACTTTTTACTCTGAATAATAATTAAGAGGCCTGTGTAAGACGGCTGGTTCAAGAAATAGATACAGAAGGCAGTTCTCCTCAACACAACCTATATAGCGAGGAATCTCATTGCTGTACAGACCGTGTTGCCTTGTTGCCGTGCCCGTCTTATGAGTACACTCACCGCTAGCTTGGTCCCTGTACATGATGCTAAAGACTTTAACTGTTTTTGATTATGTATTAAAAATATTCAATTCTATTTTGGGTTTTTTTAAAGGTCTACTAGCAACCGAAAATACTAGTATTCCCGTTAACCCCTCCCGCTAAGCTAAATTGCTTGTGTTAGGAGTGGGTTCGCGTCAGTAGTGCACTGGTCAGGATTTGAATCTACGACCTCTTGATCGCAAATTCAAAGCCTTAACCACTAGGCTACCGTCGCTTATCTATACAAATAAATAAAATTGGAGTGTCTGTTTGTAATATTAAAATAACCGCTTTTTACTAAATGGATATGTATGTTTACACGGTACATATGCCAAAATATTTTTTTTACAATTTTTGTCTGTCTGTCTGTTTGTTCCGGGTAATCTCTGGAACGGCTGGACCGATTTCGACGGGACTTTCACTAGCAGATAGCTGATGACATAAGGAGTAACTTAGGCTACTTTTTTTAGACTAATTTCGCCCCGCGGCGTTGCCCGCGGTTATAACAACAAACGCGGTTAACACCGCGGGTCTCAGCTAGTAATAAATAATAATAAGATGAATTGAGCGAGAGATATAATATACTTCTCTATCTAAGTTGAAGTAAGTAGAACTAGAGTTCTAGAAAAAAAATAAACTTGCTAAGGTGTTGGTTGAGGCTTTTGTTTAACAATCCATGAACATAATGATTATCGAAACAATAATCGTCGTATCCACATTCCACATATCTTGAAAGTATTGTTGAAGAGTGTTGGTTGTTGTTGTGACAAACAGTCGTGAAGACATAAGAACAGTGGGCTGGACGAAAAGTTCGTTGGGTAAGTTTTTTTTTTTGGAATAGAATGGAGTCCGTAAAAACGAGCAGACGGCTCACCTGATGTTAAGTCACTACCGCTGTCAATGGACACCTGACTAACTTATTCATCAACGCAAAAGCTACCCGCAAGCCTACCCGCTGTGGCTACAAACTTCAAATGTTGGCATCTGATGCTTTTTATGTTGTAAGCAAGCATATCCACTAAGAAATGATTTTTAGAAATTTCACCTCTAAATAAGGAATGAGCGGTTGTATAGAAGTTCCTTATTTTCAAAGTTAGAAATACTAAGACTAAGATAAAATAACGCGACCGAAGTCGGTCAATAGTTGGTGCACTATATACTTGAAACAAAACAAATCGGCAGAAGAACTTCGCAAGATAAACACGTGCACGCA